GATAAGAGTTTAGAATTTTGAAGTCAACAAATGCGCACGATAAGGAATCAAAGAAGTGAAAATTTTTCCTAACAGTTCCATAGCCTCCCAAAGATAAGTACAGACGTCTCTGTACCGATCCACGAGACTCTACTAAACATGCTTGTGACTCAAAACACCTATGAACCTAGAGCTCTGATACCAACTTGTCACGACCCAAATTCCCTCCGTAGGATGTCGTGATGGCGCCTAGTCTCTAAGACTATGTGAGCATATCAATTATGCAGAATACAAAACTGAAACTCAAATCTCAACATATAAATTGAAATTTTAATCCTTAACAGTTGAACAAATAAGAACTGCAAATTTAACAAATTTGACTCCCAAAACCCGGTAGGAATAAGTCACAAGCTTCTAAGAATTTATCTTCAATGTCTCTATATATCAGAGTCTAACGAAAATAAGGAAGCAACATAATAAGAATAGAAGGGGACTCCCGAGTCTGCGAACACTGGCAGATATACCTCAAAGTCTCCGCGTACGGCTAATTCACTGGTGTCTGGTCTGATAGGAAGTACCTGGATCTACACAAAAAGATCTGCAAAAGCATACTATGAGTACACCACAGCGGTACCCAGTAAGTGCCAAGCCTAACCTCGGTAGAGTAGTGGCGAGGTCAGGTCAGGCCCTACTGGAATAATAAAAGAGAGGGAGAAAAGTTTAACAGTATAATAATAGTAATGACAATGGGGATGAATCAAGTAAGTAGTATGTCACAATTTAACTTCACAGAATAAGGACAATAATACCTCGCGGAAGGAAAACAAAAATTTACAACTTTAAAGAAATCACCAAAATAACCAAAGGCAAATGCAGCCATAAATAAATATCAACAAGGGCACTCTCGAGGTACCGCCTTGTAGTCCCAAATCATAAATAAATTCACAACATCTCATTTCCTTATACCACCGCGGATGCCTTCATATTTAATTTTAAAGAAAATATTTTTCCCGAAATAGCATCCCGCGTTTTTGCCACCCTTATCACACCGCATGACTTCTAGTAGTTTTCTTACTAGCCACGCGTATCAAGCCACCCTTATCTCACCGCATGCATTTCAACACCCAGACCTTATACAACCACATGCATATCAATATCACAATATATCACAATTTGAACCTCAAGTGCCCAAAATAAATCAACAACAATATTTTTTCCAATAAGAAGCTTACGACTCAATCACAATGAGTACAAAAATCTCACAAAATATTCAGCAAAAAAAAATATTTCACAAATTTAACACCTTGTCTAAATATCAAATTTTTAAATGTAAAATACTTCATTTTTAATAATATTTAAATTTAAGAAATTCATCCTTCAAATAATGCACAGAACAAAAGACACAGAGTTTCAATTAAACAGGTAAACCACTTAGCAGGAACAGGTCAGACAAATTTAAAATACGAAAATATATTAAGGATGATGAATATAACAGAATAAAATAATTTAATTAATATGCAACAGTGCTCTACGTAATTTAAAGACATAATCTTTCATATTTAGCCCGTGTACATGACTTTCAACACATCAACATTTTCATATCAATACCAATCCTAAGAGAATTTCCCTCACACAAGGTTAGACAAGTCACTTACCTCAAACCACGCTCAATCAGTCAAGTAGTATATCTTTTCCTCGATTTTCCAACTCTGATCGGCTCGAATCTAATCATAATTAATTTGATTCAATCAATACAAATTATAGGAATAAATTCCATAAGAAAATATAATTTTTTTCTAACAAAATTCGAAATTTAACCCAAAAATCATCTGTGGGGCCCATGTCTCGGAATCTGACGAAACTCACAAAATCCGACAACCCATTCAATTACGAGTTCAACCATACTAGTTTCACTTTAATCCAACTTCGAATCGACATCAAAATCTCAAAAAATCGTTTTATGAGATTTCTACAATTTTCACCAAATTTTCATCTCAAAACACTAATTAAATGATGAAAATAATGATATATTCATGTATATTGACCAAATCCGAGTTAGAATCACTTACCCCGATATTTTTCCTTAAAAATCTCTCAAAAATCGCCTCTCCCCAAGCTCCAATTTATCAAAAATGAAAAATGGGACGAAGTCCCCTTTTTATTCGTCCCCTTTTTATAACTTAAAGTTTATGTCGAGGCGCTGCCCTCGATCCTGGTCTCGATCATGGCTTCAATCCTTCCCTCGATAATGGCTTCGATCCTGCCCTCGATCCTGGCCTCGATTTCTGCCCCCGATTTCCAGCAAAAAACAATTCAGGTTGTGTTTAAATCCAAATTTTGATCTGTTAACCATCCGAAACTCACCCGAGGCCCTCGAGACCTCAACTAAATACACAAACAAGTCCTAAAACATCATAAGAACTTAGTCGAAATCTCAAATCATATAAAATAATGCTAAAACCACGAATCATACCCCAATTCAGGCTTAATGAAATTTAAAAATTTCCAACTTCCATATTCGATACCGAAACCAATCAAATCAATTCCGATTGACCTTAAATTTTGCACACAAGTCATAAATGATATAACAGAGCTATAAAAATTTTCAGAACTAGATTCCGACCCCGATATCAAAAAGTCAACTCCACTGTCAAACTTCCCAAAAATTCTTCTTTCGCCATTTCAAGTCAAATTCCACTACATACTTCCAAAAAAAAAATCAGACACGCTCCTAAGTCCAAAATCACCATACGGAGCTATTGGAATCATCAAAACTCTATTTCGGAGTCATTTACATATTAGTCGATATTCGGTCACTATTTCAACTTAAACTTTAAACCTTGGAACTAAGTGTTTCAATTCATTCCAAAACCTCATCGGACCCGAGCTAATCACCCCGACAAGTCACATAACAATTGTAAAGCATAAATTAAGCAGTAAGTAGGGGAACGGGGTTGTAATACTCAAAACGACTAGCCGGGTCATTACATCATCATCATCATCAACATGATCTTCTCCATCATTCAAGTTGCCGTGTGAATCAATGTTGACTCACTCATCTTCATTCATCAAATTTTCGTACGAATTCAACCCTAAAGATATGTGTAATGCATTCCTTAGTTGCTCCGACCTAATTTTTAGGTTGTTATTCAAGTTGAATGGCTCCGAACTAGATTCTTGGTTAGCATTCATATTTAGGTGAATGGAAGGGTGGTGAATTACGTGTTTAATGAAAGCTCTCTTATTATATGTGTATGGTATAACAAGGTTACTCGAATTTATATACCGTATAAATTTTATTTAACAATATACGTATACATGCGAAGGCTTTTGATCTTCCCATCTATATAAATTTTATTTACAAAAAAAATACATAACAATATATGTATACATACGAAGGCTTTTGATCTTCCCATGAGAGAATTATGATTTTATGGGATCAATGTTTTGAGATAATCAATAGTTATTAGTTTGTTTGGGAGGAAAATATTTTGGAGGAAAATAATGGCTGTTAAGCCAAATATAAAATCAAGGGTTTTAAGGGCTTTACACAGGTGTAGCCATCGTTTGGCCATTATTAGTGTGGCCAAATACTAGCTCCCTTTTAGAAATTGGAAAAGGCCGAGATGTCAAATTAAAAGTATTATTGTTTCTTCCCACCAAAAAAAAGGACGGGTTCTAGATTTTAATTTGAATGGACATATCAATTTTCAAATATTTTAGATAAAATTTATATTTATTTAAAAACTACAAAAATATATTAAAATTATAACTTGCTATAATTAAATATTTCCATATATTTTAAGATATCCTAGTTAAAAAGAATATTACCTAAGTCTTCAAATAATAGTAGAATATTTTTTTTAGATAATTCCATAAATTAAAATAAGTGGGGAAGGGTGTTGCTGCTGCCTTTATTTGACGAATACGATGTTGGAGTTGTTGAAATATGGCGTTCGTCTATCTTATTCAGCTTAAGTCCAAAAATATGCACATCTTTCACTGTTTCTTTAAGGTTTAAGTTCTATACATCAATGACTTATAAAATATTATATGATTTAGATTATCTATTAAACATTATAAATAAATTTTTCTATAGATACTATTAATTGATAATTTAATAAAAATAATATTTAATCTACTATCATATATTAAAATTTATTAATATTGTAATAAGTCTTATACTGTCAGTATAAAATAAATCTTTATTTTATTCTTTTAATAGTTTATTTTTCTCTTATTCATAAGGGTAGTATATTCTTCTACCTTAGCTTATGCTCTCGTGCAATCAAAGAAAGACAATTATTAGAATAGCATCCCATAGCTTAGGATCCCTTTATTTGANGATTACATATTTTAGGAGTTTAAATTTTATGCATTAATAATTTAAAATATAATTAAGATATTTTTAAAATAATTACAGTAACTTTTTAATAAATGTTAATTAATAATATGGTAAAAGGGTAATTAGACTGGTAATACAAGTTAGAACTCACTGATAGAGTAAAACAATCTACACACTGTCATAATTTAAATCCATATTTTTATAAACTTAGGTTAATGTTGTGCCCTCCATTTGATTTGATATATATTTTGGATGGCCGAAGAATGGAATAGAAATATCCAACTTATTGAAATATCCAACTTTATCATAGGGTCCTCACAAAAGATAAAGAATTAATGATTTATTAATATTTTAACTTGTTGTAATGAGTGACATTGCCTTATTTTTTAGGTTAATAATCATTTTTATGGATAATTACCTGTTTTTATCCTTCTGGTGACCTGTTGCAGTGAGTTACATTGCCTAATTACCTGTTAGCTATGGTTTTGTAATTGACTCTTTGGTGATTAATAAAATACAATTAGTTACCCAAAAAAAGGAGTAGAAATAATGCAGAAAATATCAGAGATTTAATTTCAAAAATAACCAGTCTTTCAATCTTTTTTTTGGGCATGACTAACGAATCCCAAAAATGTCAAAAAATAATATAAATATAAACACTATAAGAGGTGGTCTTGAATTTTTGTCCTCTGCATTCCAGCTCACTTATAAATATGTAGAAACAACAAACACAATACCATAAATTTCAGAAATCCCCACATAAATTCCCTTTTTGTGTGTGATCCAATCCAATCCTAAATACTTTCTTGCAATCATTTTCTTTGGCATGGCGGAGGAATCCCAAAAATGGGTGCTTATGGTAACGGCGCAGACACCCACTAACATAGCGGTGATAAAGTATTGGGGAAAAAGGGATGAGAATCTAATTCTTGCTATTAATGATAGTATTAGTGTAACCCTTGATCCTGCTCACCTTTGTACCACTACCACTGTTGCTGTTAGCCCTGCTTTTAATCAAGATCGCATGTGGCTTAATGGCAAGGTAAAACATAACTTCACTCTTTTTTAATTTTAATTTGTGAATTTTAGTCATTATTTATTCTAGTGAGCTAATGTGAATTGGTTTTTGTGATTTGGAAAGGATTTAAGTTATATATAGTGATAGTGTAATGAATTGCGTGAAGGGAGCCTTGGCGTAACTGGTAAAATTGTTGTTGTCACGTGATCGGGAGTTCACGGGTTTGAGCCGTTGAAACAGTATCTTGCAGAAATGCAAGGTAAGGCTGCTTACAATAGACCTTGTGGTCCGGCCCTTCCCGGACCCCGCGCATAGCGGGAGCTTAGTGCACCGGGCTGCCCTTTTTTTTGTAATGACCCATCAGTGTAATTTAACATGTTATAGCAGCTTAGTTACCATATATTCGTGTTGAAGGTTAGCTTACTTGGCGAGCTCTCCGCCTTTTATATTTGAGGTGGATCATAGTAGCGTAGCATCCCCAGATGTAATAAAAAAGAAAAAAGTTGCCATTTGTTCTAGGTTACTAGTCGACGTTATTAAATAGAGTTATATGAAATTGTCTTTTAAGTGACTTAGTTGCGTAAATATTTTTTATATTGTCAATACATAGAATTTAAACTCTATTGGAAAATCTTACTCCCTCCATTTTATTTTTTGTAGTATTTTTTGACTGGACATGGAATTTAAGGAAGAACGAATTTTTCGCACATACCAAAAGTACCCTTAGAACTCGTGGTTTTAAACATGGCACGACATTTCCATAGTTGTAAAGTTATTCCTTTAAAGGTAAATTGAAAAGTTTAATGGTAAAAAGTTCCCATATATAGAAAGGTGAGGTTTTTTTAACTCACTAAAAAGGAAAGATTGTCATGTAATATGGAAAAGAATAGTAGTACTTAAGAGTGTAAATATTGGTCAGGATTCGCTTTTAGCTGCTACATGCTAGATTCTAGGCTGTTATGCTGTAATAGTGCAACCTTTTGAGTGTCTATTTGTGTGATTACATGTAGTAGAATCAAGGAGGTTTTAATAAGGAGTAGGGAACTGGGCTCCATTTCATACTGAGTCTTCATTGTTGCTTGAATTTATTTGCTAATTTACCTATTTTCCCCTTTGGGGTTGAGAGTAGTGAATGTATGATTATTCTTTTACCTATGCACAGATTTAGTGATCCAATATGCCTTATTAGTTCCACCGTTGGTCAAATCTTTGATCATCTTCTTCGTTTTTTGCTACAACATAGTAAATATAGCAGTAAGGAAAATTAAGATCCTCGAAAGTGCAATCATACTATCTTAGTTTTAGAAAACTGAGCTCGTGGGGATTCCTCCTTCATCCATTTTATTTCTAGGAATCCTTTGATCCTTTCTAATTTTGCTTTTGTCGGTCGCTTTAGGAAATATCCCTCTCTGGTGGCAGATACCAAAACTGTCTTAGGGAAATTCGTGCTCGTGCTAATGATGTTGAGGATGAGAAGAGGGGTATCAAGATCACGAAAAACGATTGGGAGAACCTGCATGTACATATTGCTTCTTATAATAATTTTCCTACTGCTGCGGGTTTGGCCTCCTCAGCTGCTGGCTTTGCCTGCCTAGGTACTGCTAACCATTTCTTTGTTACTTAAATTCTAAATTCTTTTTGTCGCTTCACTATTTCGTTTGTTTGATATTCTATTGGCTGTTGAGTTTAAAGACCAAGGATCATGATGAATATTGAAAAGGAATGATTACTTTCCTGTTTTAGAATTTAGTCCTCTATGAAAACAGTGGCTGCAGGAGATGAAGATATCGACCTTATCTGACAAATATTTGTATAAATGTTCTTGTATATATGCGTCATAACTTGTGTGGGATGGAAGCTTTTGGAATTGTTTGATTTTACCTTATTTGTTATAATATGAGCTGTATTGGAGTTCACAATATCTGAAATGGATTTTTTAAGGCTTGCCTGAATCTCAATCTGTGATTTGACTTCAAAGCAAACAAAAAGTAATTCATTCTTTCTAGTTCAGAAAGTTAAGTACGTTTTCTAGCTCTTTTGTTCAAGTTCTGCATTTCTCTTTTCTGGGTGTTCCTCTCTTGGAATGCCTTTGGACCTATCTGTAGTGTTCCATGTTTCTTGAGAAGAAAATAGTTTTTAAGTGACAGAACTATTTAGTTAATTGAAAATTGCAAGCTTTTATTTGATCATATGCTGTCCATTATGTAATGCCTTATGGTTTTCTAATTTTCTCACCGCACATATAGTACAATTTAGTCGAGTAATGTTGGCTCCCGTGATGCTAATTCAAATCGATTGGAGCTTCCTTTTACCATTTCCTTTTTCTTGCAACTGGTTTTTCTGGTAACTTATTATTTTAGCTGTGATATCTTGTATGTGGTCATCAAAAGAATGGACTTGTTAGTGGAACTATAGAGATACTTGCTAATTTCTACTAATAGGATACCTTTCCCTTTCTTATAAATTCTTTAGCGCATCCTATCTGTGCATTTGAGCTTGTTTGGGTTCCAACCCCCTTTTTAGTTCATGTATTGGATGAGTTAGTGGTACTAGATTCCACCTATGGTATATAAGTGTGTAAGAGTTGGTAAATATTTTGTCTATATTCCATTTATCTTTTGTTTGCATATTTTCATTTTAAATTCATTCCTTATTTAAATATGTAACGAAATTACGACGACAATGAGTAAACAATTGATCTAAGTGAGCCCATATTTTGATTTTTGTGTTGATAAGTATATAATATACTACATTACTTGTGGAATTAGTTTTTTCTTCAAGTGCTATTGTTTTTTTTTTTTACCTAATTCTCTCCTTTTTCCTGAATCTTTGCTTTCTTCAATCTTATTCTTCTAAGGCTTCTGAGATGGATACAACTAATTTCTACTTTCTCTATGTAGTTTATTCCCTTGCAAAGTTAATGAATGTGCAAGAGGACAACGGGAAGCTTTCTGCCATAGCCAGGTAGATTATGTCAGTTGTAATTAGCTTGTTGGGTTGTATTTTGTTAATCCTATTTAGTCCAATTAACTAGATAGGACTATAGTGAATTCTACTCATATTTTCTTACTTTCTCTATTCCATTGGTCTTGTTTATTAGGTTACCCTATGATAACTGAGATGTTATAGCTCATAGCTCACATAAATAGGTCAAAATGACAACTTTGTTTATTCACTTCAGGCAAGGTTCAGGAAGTGCTTGTCGAAGCTTATATGGAGGATTTGTTAAGTGGGTTATGGGAAAAGTACGTCTGGTTTATAAGTCCCTGTCTTGTGCTTCTCTCAACAAATATCTTATCTTCTCACTATTGTTGATATGTGCAGGAGGAAAATGGAAGCGATAGCGTTGCTATTCAACTTGTAGATGAGAAACACTGGGATGAGCTTGTCATCATCATTGCCGTGGTATGTACTTCTCCATCCACATTATCATTGTTTGTCAAAAAGTTAAGCAATTTATATCGCTGCTAGACTTTCGGGGAAAGAAAACATCTCTCTCATCTTCCTCCTGCGTATTCACAATATGAAAAGGGAAATTCATAGTAACACTTCCTGTTTCTTGTTCCTTTTGGTGTCATCTTTCTTTTTCTCTGAAATCTTGTCTAAGCATTACTTTTGTGTATCTGAGATTTTTTCAGAGATAATAATATGGAGAAGTGATGTCAATCTATCCTATTGGAACTGCACTCATTGGGACTTAGCAAAAACAAAAAGAAAATCTTGATGTTTGACATCTTGGAAGATCCTTGTTTTAGAAATTGTTTTCTCAGAGCTGCCGTAACCAGACCCATTGTGCTATACTGGATATAGAAAGCAAGGAAAACCTAGTTTTCTGCTGTTTTTGTCATGACAACTAACACTTAAACTATAAGGTCACCAATTTGTATACTCGGACCAATTACTTTTACCTGCTCCTTAATTTATTTTCTTCTCATTTCTAGTAGTCATCTTACAGTTTCCCCTCTGTCCAGTTTCAACTTTTACTTTTTATTTCATTTCTTCACAATTTTATGCCAACCCCCTCTTAACTCATCTGCACATTCTTCACTATGGATTTTTGAAGTTCACTGAAATCGATCATATAAATTTGACCATTGGGACAGTTTTGTGTTTATTTTTCTTCCAAAGCATGTCAAAAAATTTGATTCTTTTTGAATGTTTTGGCTGTATTTTCAGGTGAGCTCACGGCAGAAGGAAACAAGTAGCACCTCGGGAATGCTTGAGACTGTTGAAACCAGTGCGCTGATAGAACACAGGGCAAAGGTATTTCTCTTGTTTGCATTTGGGTTCTGCATCTTCAAATAGTGTCCTGAAAATCTTTCAGGCATTTTCACGTAGTTCTTTAAGTTAACCTCCCAATTGGTGAGAGTTTTAATAGAAGTATGACTTTTCATTCTTGTATTGGGATTTTTCAGGAAGTAGTGCCAAAGCGAATAATTCAGATGGAAGAAGCCATACAAAAACGTGATTTTGCAACTTTCACTCACTTGACTTGTGCAGACAGCAATCAGTTTCATGCAGTCTGCCTGGATACTAGCCCTCCTATATTTTACATGAATGACACATCTCATAGGTAAGTTCTAAACGTCAAGCTACTAAAATGAGGTGTTTGCGGAACTTCTTTTCTTTAAAAAAAAAAAGTTGAACCTGATATTTTTTTAATAATGTCGAGAATAGGAGAAAGTAAGTCTTAATGGTGTGTTCAATTTTCAGGATAATCAGCTGTGTTGAGAAATGGAACCGTTCAGAAGGAACTCCACAGGTTTTTCTACTTTACCATAATCTTTTTTGAATGCATAGTTGCATGATTGTGTTCATCCATGAAAAATTCTCTATTAACCGTGTAAAAGAACACAAGTGCAAGAGTTGTTACCTTCTATTTATTTTGCCCGAGAAATTTGTCATAGAATTAAATACTTGAGCTAGAATTTTGGATATTAGATACTTGTTGGGCTAAAACGCCTAATGATACTCTTAACATGGTATGATATTGTCCGCTTTGGGCCAAGCCCGCACAGTTTTCCCTAAAAGGCCTCTCATCATTAAGAGATCCATAGACCTTATATGTGGACGCCCAATCTTTTCAGCTACCAATGTGGGGCTTTGTTCACACACCCAACAATCTCCCCTCGAACTAAGTTCCACATGGCCCACTACCACGATTCACGGGTTTCCCCTCGAACTAAGTTCCACGTGGCCCATTATCACGATCCACAAGTCAATTTCCGAGATTCACTATGTGCCACCCACATCCCCGGAGTATTTATGGCAACCGAAGCCCGCAACTAGCTTCTTTTTGTGTGCATGTCTCTAAGCTCGTAAGGGTAAAGAAACCGAGCCGCACGCCATCATCCTGCCATCACCATACTCGTCTCGCTAATCCTAGGCTCTGAAACCATTTGTTGGGCTAAAACGGCCCAATGACACTCTTAACATGATATGATATTGTCTGCTTTGGGCCAAGCCCACACGGTTTTCCTCAAAAGGCCTCACACTATTAAGAGATCCGTACACCTTATATGTAGACTCCCAATGTGTTCAGCTACCAATGTGAGACTTTGTTCCCACACCCAACGATACTTGAGACAGAATAGTGATTATCCTTCTGAACTGGAATTTTTGTTTCATTTTCTGAAGTATATTGCATCCTCTCCTCAATTCAATCTACTTTGACGACTTTGCAAACTGTGTTATGTTCCAACTGATTTCTCCCTGGTCTTGAGCTAGTTTGAGATTACTGCTTTTCAGTTACTTCATAATATCAATTACCACTGAGATCTTGACACTATATCAAGCAATACAAGAACATCTCTCCGCTCCAAGCCTTTTTCCGCTCCGAGTGACAATTGAGTGTTTGGCTAAGTTGTATTTTTGGAGTCTAATTTTTCAGTTTACATATTGCATCTGGAAGACCTATTGCCTTCCTAGTTTGACTTTTAAAGTAGGTTTACATACAATGATATGGTCTTGTTGTTCGTTACTAAGTATAAAAATGTTGCCAGGTTGCATATACTTTTGATGCGGGGCCAAATGCAGTTCTAATTGCACGTAACAGAACGTCTGCTGCACTTCTACTCCAGAGGCTGCTCTTCCACTTCCCTCCAAATTCAGAAACGGATTTAAACAGGTACAGCCGCTATCAAAATTTTGATAGTTTTTGCGTAATCATAGAAAGAATATGATTTGGACCCTATGGTACCGATGATATTCACTGCTTCTCCCTTCTTCTTCTTTCTTTTCTCTCCAGCTACGTCATAGGTGATAAATCAATACTGAAGGATGCTGGAATTCCGGAGATAAAGGATGTGGAAGCATTGCCTCCACCTCCAGAAATTAAGGACAAGGTTCCAGTTCAGAAATGTAAGGGCGAAATTAGCTACTTCATATGCACAAGACCTGGTAGAGGTCCAGTTTTGATAAGCGACGAAAGTCAAGCTCTTCTCAACCCTGATACCGGGTTGCCCAAGTGAGGTGCCGTACTTTTGCTTATAATATTCTGTTGAATGATCAGGCCTAAACAGAGTCCCGAGTTCTACCTATTACAGCCTCTTGCCCTAAAGAGAAAAAATGGAGGCTGCTATTTTTAAAATGGTTTCAGTAGAGATGAACTTTGAATTCAAAAGCTGTTGTTTGTAGTTCAGTTTACTTATTCTTCAGTGGAAATTGTTGTGTACTCATTTCTTTGTTGAATGCATTAAGAGTCCTCAATTTTGCTTCTTTCAGTCATTTCCTGGAATCAAATAAAAAACATTTTTCATTAAAAAGGGAAAACCGACCTTTTTTGCTTATGTTTTTCTCCAATAGTCCATTTGAAATTGTTTATACTTTTTAGATAGTGTTGAATACTGAGAGAAAGTTTCTATATTTTTGTTCATACCAAACACAACCTTATTGGATTTATTTGAAGACAAGTTACAAGACGATGAAGAAAAGAACCACTACTCAAGTGGTCAAATAATGTAATTACATTTCTCCTCTCAAGAAAGTTTTCCAAATAATATCTTTCATATTAATCAAAATAGCATTAAAGTATTGGTTCAAAGCCAACAAATTTATCTTGTATAATAACAACAATCACTTAATTTAATAACAATAGCAATTAAACTCACTACAAAATAGATTAAAGGTATATATTAATGTTCAACCCAATAATTGATATTTTGGAGTCCAGTGTTCTGTGACAGTTGCTGAACAAAATAATTGTAGGTACAAGTTTGAAGGAAATCCAGGCCACCAGTAATTACTAATATTTTATGCAATTTAATGCTGCTCGTGCTCACCATCCCGTGTACTACACATACAAGCTTATTCACATCTAGCCAAGGGATTAAATTTAGGAAGAAAAATGGCAAAATATCATACCTTTTTTTTTACAACCTATTCGGACTGATATTATTTTTTCGTCATTTCATAATGTATTATTTCATACCATATTATATTCTGTTATATATTTCGAATGAGTTTATTGTTTGGTGTTGTTTAATAATATTTCTCTTGTTCGATTTGACTGTATTGTACAACTTATAAGTTACTAATATTCCCTAATCTATTGTAAATATTGGATCTATCAACAATTCAAATATTGTATTGTCCTAGTTGTCCGGATACTCATCGTTCTGCGATCACTTAGTGTTGTTTCAATTGCTCTATTTAATTCTTAGGTAGCTATGAAACAATCCACTGTTTCTTGTTCTACTTCTAAAGCTGAATATTGGGCTTTTTTCTACTGCCATAGCTGAGACTTTATGGTTTTAGCCATTGTTCCAGGAACTTGGCCTATCATTTTGTTATCTAAATATCATTGATCGTGATGAAGGGGAGCTTGGAGCAACGGTAAAATTGTCTTTGTGTGACCTATACGTCACGGGTTCAAGCGTACATTACACCCCTTGGGGTGCGACCCTTCCCCAGACCCTGCGTGAACGCGAAATACTTTGTGCACCGGGCTGACCCATTATATCATTCATTGTGATAAAATTAGCAGAATCTATATGACTATTGAATATTGATCATGTGGTTCATGTTCAGCATGCTCGCGCCATGTTAAAGAAATCGATCTTCATTTTGTCAAGAAAAAACAATAGGTGGTGAACTTATTGTCAAACAGTATACATTTTCAAACAATCAGACAGCTGACATCTTCACCAAATATTTATTGATTTCTCAGTTTCAACTATTACATGATTTATCATTTCATCAGGAAATGAGAACAGATAAAAACTATGCTTTATTTTCCATGTTTCTACATTAGGAAGATTCACTCATTGCTGTTCTTATTTGGCAAGTGTTAGCTCAAGACTAAATTCTTTGCCAATCAGAACTGATAGACCTGACATCTCTAAAACACCAGATGTACTTCTGTCAAAGTTTGTTCTAGTTCTTGAGTATATATGTCTCTTGCCTACCATTTTAGAGGTCAACTTATTTGCACTTATTCTAGTCACCCTTTTCTTCAGTCCAAGAAAAGTCACTTTGTGTATTGTCCAATTCTTACTCATAGCAAACTCTTCATTCACAACCTCTGATTTGAGATATAACTTACTGTTTACAATACCACTGTGAAATCTCACTAAGCTCCACTTTCCACCCTTTCCTCCCATTTCAACTTCTTCTCCATCGTCCAAGTAAACTTCGCCTGAACTATTTCCCTTGTCGCTGATGGCAACAAGAAGTTCGAATGGAGTGTCCCGAGCTGCCCTTGTTGTCATTGCTTCTCCTTGCATTGCCAGAATATTTCCTTCTCGAAGGTGTACGTTGATATGATCAGAAGGTGCAGCAAGGTTGATGTAGTTACCGGACTTCATATTCACGTAGTTTGAATAGTTAAAGAGGTTGAACCAGGTTCCAGACGGAAAATATGCATTAACTGAAACCGCTCCAGATATTAGCACTGGCGATATCATTAACCCCTTACCAATGAGAAACTGAGAGTCAATATCATAAGTGTTTGCATCCTCAGGAAATGAAAAGAAAATTGGCCGTGCTATAGGAACGCCTCTAGAATGCGCCTCAAACATTAGCGTGTAGAAGTATGGTAAGAGCCGATAGCGAAGTCCAAGAACCTTTCTAGCTGTTGCAGCTACTGAATCCCAGATATATAACTCTTGATGGATACTAAACTTTTCAGAGTGATCCCTTGAAAAGGGATAAAATGCACCTAGCTACATTTGACGAGACGTTGATATTAACATATGAACATCAGCTTCTATAAGAGTATTTTAAGGAAATAGCATTACAAGTAAAGTGATACTTATGAAAACCAACAGACTGCATAGCACTCTGCACTAATATGCCAACACTATTAGTGGAAATAGCAGACTCCCTGGATTAGAGGCGGATGCAGTGTTGCATTGTCGGGTTTATCTGGACCCAGTACTTATGTATAAAAACTCACTAAAATTGCAAAACATAGTAGGTATGAACCTACAGTGATTCAATAACAAGAACCTTAAAGGTTGAAGCCATAGAGCTTAAATCCTGAATCCATCTCTGCCTTAGATTATACATTGGAGCAGGAGGCACAAAGTAGAAGAATAAGATATCGTATGCAGTGATGGGTAATGAATTGTGCATGACTTTTGAACTGTCAAACAGAAATAATAAACTCCTGATATATGCAAAAAACTTCTTTAAAGAAAACAGAACATGTACCTGAATCCAACGGCGGCAAAGTTCCTCAGTTGTATTTTTACCAAAGCCACATATATCAGCTCCAACCATGGGAATTCCAAACAATCCAGAATTTAAAATGCTAGGAATACTATAAGCCAAGTCATCCCAAGTTGCAGCATTATCTCCAGTCCAATGCGCTGTGTACTTTCCAGCACCCACAAATGTAGATCTGCTAAGTATAAATGGCCTTTTACCAGTAATGTCGACTAAAGCAGCATTGGTCGTTTTAGCTTCGAGGAATCCATAGAGGTTATGAACATTGTACTCTAAGGTGTTCCCATAATGTACTGATGTTGCTGGGACAGTCTTCTCGTTGATTGGACGTAAGCTTCCCGAGTTATTGATCTTATAAGGAGGATTGTCAAGAGTAGAAGATGGGCTTGGAGGAGAAGAAATGAAGTTAGATAACTCGTTCATATCAAGCCAGAGCCCGTCAACGGGGAGACTTTCATGGAAAATTTTGATTTCAGTACTCCAGAAGACTCTGGCTTTGGGATTTATGAAATCAGGAAAGTAGACTTTTCCAGGCCAAACTTCGCCAAGATAAGGGACACCATCGCGTTTGATGAAAACATCTGCTTCCATACCTCTCTTATAAGTCTCATACGAGCTATTTATACTGATCCCTGTGACCAAAGTGTTGGGATCAATAAAGAAACAAGAGTGCTTTGATTAAGTCATTTGTCCCAACGCCTTTGGAATTTTCTCAACTTCTACCCCAATTTAAGTATAAATATCAACAGAAACAAGAAAATTCAATATGTCAAAACTCACCTGGATCCAATATGAGAACAAATTTCTGGCCATCTTGATGAAGTTTATCAACAAATTTCTTCATCCGGTCAAGTGGGAAATTAATCGGATCAACTGTGAAATCCTTATAGCCGTCCATATAATCAATATCTGTCCACATGACCTCAAGAGGGATCTGAGATTTTGCATAGCGCGCTACCACATTCTCAACTTCAGTAATACTTTTATAGCCATATCGGCATTGGTGAAAGCCTGTGAATAAAGATTGCAATAGATGCATGAAGAAACAATGTCAAGAACTCATGTCAAGCTACAAACAAAAGAAGAAAGAAATAAAACAACACAAAATGGTGGCAGGATTATAGCTTTCAACAGTAGAAAAGAAGCATCTAGTTTTTTCCTGAGTAGAAATGAAGCCTAGCTTAACAATTTTATAATTAGTCATAGACCGAAACCACCACCACAGAATCAAGAACTAATCGCAGCAACCAATGGAAACCAACATAACAAGAATAAACTCAACAAGACAAGGTAATTCACACGTATAAATTACTCACCAAAAGACCAGTAAGGCATGGGTGCAGGGCGGCCAATGAGCTCCGTGTACTGCTCCATGACCTTCTCCGGCACAGGACCAGCAAAGAAATACAGGTCAATGACCCCTCCAATCACTTTGTAGGTAATTCGATCACCAGCATATACGATATCCATCCCATTGCTATTGAATAACAAGACTCCGTGAGTACTCCCTGTGCCAGGATTAGACCTGACGTCCATGTAAAAAGGATGGGAGCCATACAAGTTGAGATCAACATTGGCACTAGCAATATCAGCATCCCAAAGAGTTAATGTCTGATTATGTTTGAGCTTAAACGTTCTCTTGGTATGCTCACCGAGGCCATATATAGATGACCTATTGGCGGGCAATGAAGAGGACAGTTGAAGGTACTGGTCCTTGAAGATAAGGAACGTGTCCGGAGAGTTACTTTTAGGCGAGGTGTCAAAAAGAATGTCACCTGAGGAGCGACGTTTGATAGTAAAGCCAAAAGGGGTGGTGTTGTAGAGAGTGAAAATAAGGTCTGAAATGGTATCTGTATGGAAATAATGTGTGTCCTCTGATAATGGAAGTGAGAAATAAGAATGTTTCTCCAAAAGGGAGCTGCGGGGGAAAGAATGAGTTTCGCGGGGGATAAATTCTTGTGGAACTTCCCATCTTTCATGATCTGCATCCGTAATCCTGACTCTTAAACGATCTTTTGTCTCAAAGCTGAAGAATCGATCAACATGTAAAACAAGA